TGGCTGGGGCCCTGTGTGTGAGGCTGGGGTCCCTGTGTGTGTGTGTGTGTGGCTGGTGGTGTGTGGCTGGGGGCCCTGTGTGTGAGGCTGGGGCCCTGTGTGTGAGGCCTGTGTGTGTGGCTGGGGGCCCTGTGTGTGTGGCTGGGGGCCCTGTGTGTGTGGCTGGGGGCCCTGTGTGTGTGGCCAGGGCCCTGGACCCTCAGCGTAATGCTGAGAACCATCTGTGTAAATATAGAGCTATATATATTAATATGAACTCATATACAGACTATTCCACTCTCACTGATGTGTTGATGACATACTTCATTATGCGTCTTACTGCAGCCTCGCGGTGACGAGCGTCTCCGGGAAGAAAGGGCTTCCCGTATACTTAATTCCTCACCATTGAGGCCCATTGAGCCAGCTGCCTTGTTCAGTCCCGCCCTCGATTTTATTCCCTAATGGGGCCATTTCTTCCTCCTCCTTCCATTAGGCATTAATGTTCCCACGTATTTTACTGATCTCTTTACGCCAGATTTATTTCACTTGATGAGGTCGTCATTAAGTATTTGCATAAACTCAATAAAGCAAACATATTTTTTTCCATTTTTTTATGCTAAATTTTGAGTGTGCTGAGTATGTCCATTATGTTTGATGTATTCAATTGGTGTATTAAATTGTATCCATATTATTGTCACATATGGTTATGTTAATGGTCAAATGGTCCTGAAATACACGAATCGTTCCAGATCTGAGTCAGTTGTGGTGCCAGTAACGGTTGGGCTCACTTCTAGCAGCCCAGGAGACCAGACCTGGCTCCGCGGACACAATGTAACACAAACAAGGAACAACAGTGACAAGCTCAACAAGCCACAATGTAACACAAACAAGGAACAACAGTGACAAGCTCAACAAGCCACAATGTAACACAAACAACAGTGACAAGCTCAACAAGCCACAATGTAACACAAACAAGGAACAACAGTGACAAGCTCAACAAGCCACAATGTAACACAAACAAGGAACAACAGTGACAAGCTCAACAAGCCACAATGTAACACAAACAAGGAACAACAGTGACAAGCTCAACAAGCCACAATGTAACACAAACAAGGAACAACAGTGACAAGCTCAACAAGCCACAATGTAACACAAACAAGGAACAACAGTGACAAGCTCAACAAGCCACAATGTAACACAAACAAGGAACAACAGTGACAAGCTCAACAAGCCACAATGTAACACAAACAAGGAACAACAGTGACAAGCTCAACAAGCCACAATGTAACACAAACAAGGAACAACAGTGACAGGGTGAAGAATGGGGAGCCGGTCGACCAGGGGAGCCGGTCGGCCGAGCGGACAGCACACTGTACTTGTGATCAAGTGAACAACAGTTCGATCCCAGGCTCCGGCAAGAAACAATGGGCAGAGTTTCTTTCAACCTATGCCCCTGTTACCTAGCAGTAACAAGGTACCTGGGTGTTAGTCAGCTGTCACAAGCTGCAACCTGGGGGTGGAGGCCTGGTCGAGGATCGGGCCGCGGGGACACTACAAGCCCCGAAATCATCTCCAGATATCTTCAGATATCCAGGGTTATAAACTCACGGAACCGCCTACCCGCCGAAGCCGTAAATGCCAAAACTTTCTTAAGTTTAACATCCCAATAGTCAAAATCATCAGTACAAGTGGGGAACCCTTGTCAAGCCGCCGGCTTACTGTCCACGTTCAGACCACTAAAGATATAGTGGTCCTCGGATAATTTCTGGTAAGTTATAGGTGAGAGGTTGTATTATAGGTCAAGGGTTTTATAATAGGTCAGAGGTTCATATTATAGATCAAAAGATGGAATGTTCCCTGGCCTATACATATACAAGAGACTCAACTTCAGCACCCACATACAACACAGCCAAGAATGTCTCAAACACAGTTTGTATACTCTCTAAAATCATATATTATGTTCCCCAGTCTGCTCTCCTCTCACTATACTATGCACTAATCTATCCCTATCTTAATATAGGTGTACATATACACCTATACACCTGACTTTCCTCCTCAGCTCTCTCTTGCCTATTTATTGCCTGTCCCTACCTCTTCATCACAATCGACTTGAGAATGGTCCAGGACGGACCGAAACGTCGTCGTCCCTTCAACTTGTAGTGTGTGGTCTGGTCAACATACTTCAGCCACGTTATTGTGACTCATCGCCTGCATATCCCTATCTTACATATGGTATCTGTGCATGGGGGCTCAACCACAGCACACCACCTCAAGTCCATCATCACTCAGCAAAAATCAGCTCTCAGAACAATAACAAACTCTGTCTTCAGACAACACTCAGCCCCTTTATTTAAGTCCGTAAACATGCTAAACACACACACACACTCAACACATTCTCCTGTGCTATTTACATGTACAAAACCTCGGTCCTAAATGGTAATCTTGATCTGAAACTGTTGACCAGACCACACACTAGAAGGTGAAGGGACGACGACTTTTCGGTCCGTCCTGGACTATTCTCAAGTCCAGGACGGAGAATGAACTTGAGAATGGTCCAGGACGGACCGAAACGTCGTCGTCGTCCCTTCACCTTCTGGTGTGTGGTGTGGTCAACATTCTTCAGCCCCGTTATTGTGATTCATCGCCTGCATATTGATTTGAAACTCTTCGTTGACAGATGTAACAGAACCCATAAGCAACACACCAGAATACATATGTCCTTCATATCCTCAGTCAAGCTACATCTCTGCAAGCACTCCATGGAAATAAATCCAACCACTTTGGCTTGACGGTAGAACGACAGTTTCGCTTCATGCAGGTCGGCGTTCAATCCCCGACTGTCCAAGTGGTTGGGCACCATTCCTTTCCCATCCCAAACCCTGATCCCTTACAATTGCTATATAGTCATAATGGCTTGGCGCGTTCCCCTGAAAGTTCCCTTCCATTCCATGCCAATAAAGGAACCCCGTCTATGGAACTCACTATCTAAAGAATTAAATAATTCATTAGACTTATGCATTATTCAAAGCAAGAAAATCAAGTACTTAACTCCTTCTTCGTAGCTTCTGCTACAACCTCACCCACAACTTTAAGGTGTTGTTGTTGTTCAAGATTAACTACCTGTAACAAAATGTTCCAAGTAGCACGGGCTATGGTGAGCCCGTAGTAGACTTTGAGGAGCTACTCACTTGTGTATTACTCCTGAAGACATGAACCTTCACCAGTGTCATCAATACTATCAATTTATATCCTAGTTGTTGTGTTGAGATAAATTGTTGCTACAGTGTACCTTTATATACTGTAACTTTATCTGTTAGATGAAGGACCTGCTTGTAGCACAACCCGTTCTCGCAAATTCGTAAAGTCAATATTGACTTATTAACTACGTGCATAGGTGATATACTTAACATAATAGATACCCTTAGAAAGATTCATGGAAAACACCGACCTTACCTAACCTTGTTAGTATCTTAAGATAAGCATCTTATTGCTTCGTAATTACAATTATTACTTAACCTATACCTATTATAGGTTAGGTAATAATTGTTATTACGAAGCAATAAGATGCTTATCTTAACATACTAAGTAGGTTAGGTAAGGTCGGTGTTTTCTATGAATCTTTTTAAGGGTATCTATTATGTTAAGTATGTCACCTATGCACATATTTAATAAGTCAATATTGACTTATTAAATTTGCGAGAACGGGTTGTGTAGCACTAGGCGAGCTAGGGGCTCCACTACAATGTTCAATTATATATTATTATTTAGAATTATTATTAGAATTATTATTATTATTAGTTAGAATTAACTAACCAATGTTATCATCGCTCACAATCCCTCTCTACCTTATATAAATAAAAAAATAAAATATCATATTATAGGTCCAATGGAAACTTATTGGAAATATATGACACAGAAAATGGAAAAAAAGAAGGATATTAACTGGGGACACGCAAGTAAAAAGAGAACATTTACCGGGAAATCAATACCACGGGCTCACCATAGCCCGTGCTACTTAAACTTTTCTTCCGAGTTGCTGAATCTTAAACAACATAAGTGGAAAACCCAAGTTAAATGAAACATTTACTGGGGAGACTCCAATAAAAATGAGAACATTTAAAGGGGAAACTCAGGTAAAAGAAAAAAAAATCAGGGGCAACTCAAGTAAAAAACGAATATTTACTGAAGACAAGCAAGTAAAAACGAGAACATTTACTGGGGAAACTCAAGTAAAAAAAAAAGGAATTACTGGGGGGAAACTCAAGTAAAAAAGAAAGTATTTACTGGGGAGACTCAAATAAAAAAGAAAATATTACTGGGGAAACTCAAGTAAAAAAGAAAGTATTACTGGGGAAACTAAAGTAAAAAAGAAAGTATTTACTGGGGAAACTCAAGTAAAAAAGAAAGTATTTACTGGGGAAACTCAAGTAAAAAAGAAAGTATTTACTGAAGACACGCAAGTAAAAACGAGAACATTTACTGGGGAAACTCAAGTAAAAAAAAGGAATTACTGGGGAAACTCAAGTAAAAATAAAAAAATTACTGGGCGGAATGAAGTAAAAAGATAATATTTACTGAGAAAACTGCAGGAAAAGGAGACCATTTACTGGTAACTTAAAGAGAATATAGCGTAAGACCGAGAGCAGCGGCGGAGACTGAGGGACAACATGTCCTCAGCGGCTCGAATTTCTGGGAGTGACCTTATCCATCATACCTCTTATGTCCGGACCATCCAGGAGGGGGAACCATCCAGGCGGGGGAACCATCCAGGCGGGGGGACCATCCAGGCAGGGAGACCATCCAGGCGGGGGGACCATCCAGGCGGGGGAACCATCCAGGCGGGGGAACCATCCAGGCGGGGGAACCATCCAGGCAGGGAGACCATCCAGGCGGGGGGACCATCCAGGCGGGGGAACCATCCAGGCGGGGGAACCATCCAGGCAGGGAGCCCATCCAGGCGGGGGGACCATCCAGGCGGGGGAACCATCCAGGCGGGGGAACCATCCAGGAGGGGGAACCATTCAGGCGGGGGGACCATCCAGGCGGGGGAACCATCCAGGCAGGGGAACCATCCAGGCGGGGGGACCATCCAGGCGGGGGGACCATCCAGGCGGGGGAACCATCCAGGCGGGGGAGACCATCCAGGCAGGGGAACCATGCAGGCAGGGGAACCATCCAGGCGGGGGGAACCATCCAGGCGGTGGAACCATGCAGGCGGGGGGACCATCCAGGCGGGGGGAACCATCCAGGCGGTGGAACCATCCAGGCGGGGGAACCATCCAGGCGGGGGAACCATCCAGGCGGTGGAACCATGCAGGCGGTGGAACCATCCAGGCGGGGGAACCATCCAGGCGGTGGAACCATCCAGGCGGGGGAACCATCCAGGCGGATGAACCATCCAGGCGGGGGGAACCATCCAGGCAGTGGAACCATCCAGGCGGGGGGAACCATCCAGGCGGGGGAACCATCCAGGCGGGGGAACCATCCAGGCGGGGGAACCATCCAGGCGGGGAAACCATCCAGGCGGTGGGAACCATCCAGGCAGTGGAACCATCCAGGCGGAGGAACCATGCAGGCGAGGGAACCATCCAGGCGGTGGAACCATCCAGGCGGGGGAACCATCCAGGCGGGGGGAACCATCCAAGCGGGGTACCATCCAGGCGGTGGAACCATGCAGGCGGTGGAACCATCCAGGCGGGGGAACCATCCAGGCGGGGGGAACCATCCAGGCGGTGGAACCATCCAGGCGGGGGAAACCATCCAGGCGGGGGAACCATCCAGGCGGGGGACCATCCAGTCGGGGGAACCATCCAGGCGGGGGAACCATCCAGGCGGGGGGAACCATCCAGGCAGTGGAACCATACAGGCGGGGGGAACCATCCAGGCAGTGGAACCATCCAGGCGGGGGGACCATCCAGTCGGGGGAACCATGCAGGCGGTGGAACCATCCAGGCGGGGGAACCATCCAGGCGGTGGAACCATCCAGGCGGTGGAACCATCCAGGCGGGGAAACCATCCAGGCGGGGGGACCATCCAGGCGGTGGAATCATCCAGGCGGGGGAACCATCCAGGCGGTGGAACCATCCAGGCGGGGGGGGGACCATCCAGTCGGGGAAACCATGCAGGCGGTGGAACCATCCAGGCGGGGGAAGCATCCAGGCAGTGGAACCATCCAGGCGGGGGGACCATCCAGTCGGGGGAACCATGCAGGCGGTGGAACCATCCAGGCGGGGGAATCATCCAGGCGGGGGGACCATCCAGTCGGGGGAACCATGCAGGCGGTGGAACCATCCAGGCGGGGGAACCATCCAGGCAGTGGAACCATCCAGGCGGGGGGACCATCCAGTCGGGGGAACCATGCAGGCGGGGGAACCATCCAGGCGGTGGAACCATCCAGGCGGTGGAACCATCCAGGTGGGGGAACCATCCAGGCGGGGGAACCATCCAGGCGGGGGGAACCATCCAGGCACAGGGGAACCATCCAGGCAGTGGAACCATCCAGGCGGGGGAACCATCCAGGCGGTGGAACCATCCAGGTGGTAGAACCATCCAGGCGGGGGAACCATCCAGGCGGGGGAACCATCCAGGTGGGGGGAACCATCCAGGCAGGGGGAACCATCCAGGCGGGGGAACCATCCAGGTGGGGGGAACCATCCAGGCAGGGGGAACCATCCAGGCGGGGGAACCATCCAGGCGGGGGAACCATCCAGGCAGGGGGAACCATCCAGGCAGGGGGAACCACCCAGGTGGGGGAACCATCCAGGCGGTGGAACCATCCAGGCAGGGGAACCATCCAGGCGGGGGAACCATCCAGGCGGGGGGGACCATCCAGTCGGGGGAACCATCCAGGCGGGGGAACCATCCAGGCGGGGGGAACCATCCAGGCAGTGGAACCATACAGGCGGGGGGAACCATCCAGGCAGTGGAACCATCCAGGCGGGGGGACCATCCAGTCGGGGGAACCATGCAGGCGGTGGAACCATCCAGGCGGGGGAACCATCCAGGCGGTGGAACCATCCAGGCGGTGGAACCATCCAGGCGGGGAAACCATCCAGGCGGGGGGGGACCATCCAGGCGGTGGAATCATCCAGGCGGGGGAACCATCCAGGCGGTGGAACCATCCAGGCGGGGGGACCATCCAGTCGGGGAAACCATGCAGGCGGTGGAACCATCCAGGCGGGGGAAGCATCCAGGCAGTGGAACCATCCAGGCGGGGGGACCATCCAGTCGGGGAAACCATGCAGGCGGTGGAACCATCCAGGCGGGGGAATCATCCAGGCGGGGGGACCATCCAGTCGGGGAACCATGCAGGCGGTGGAACCATCCAGGCGGGGGAACCATCCAGGCAGTGGAACCATCCAGGCGGGGGGACCATCCAGTCGGGGGAACCATGCAGCGGGGGAACCATCCAGGCGGTGGAACCATCCAGGCGGTGGAACCATCCAGGGGGGGGAACCAACCAGGCGGGGGAACCATCCAGGCGGGGGGAACCATCCAGGCACAGGGGAACCATCCAGGCAGTGGAACCATCCAGGCGGGGGAACCATCCAGGCGGTGGAACCATCCAGGTGGTAGAACCATCCAGGCGGGGGAACCATCCAGGCGGGGGAACCATCCAGGTGGGGGGAACCATCCAGGCAGGGGGAACCATCCAGGCGGGGGAACCATCCAGGTGGGGGGAACCATCCAGGCAGGGGGAACCATCCGGCGGGGGAACCATCCAGGCGGGGGAACCATCCAGGCAGGGGGAACCATCCAGGCAGGGGGAACCACCCAGGTGGGGGGAACCATCCAGGCGGTGGAACCATCCAGGCAGGGGAACCATCCAGGCGGGGGAACCATGTTTAATACACATTATGGTAAAATTGATGAATGCGTCTGGGGAGGATGGCCGCTTCTTTAACCAGCCTAGTGTGAGGACGGCCGCTGCTTTAACCAGCCTAGTGTGAGGACGGCCGCTGCTTTAACCAGCCTAGTGTGAGGACGGCCGCTGCTTTAACCAGCCTAGTGTGAGGACGGCCGCTGCTTTAACCAGCCTAGTGTGAGGACGGCCGCTGCTTTAACCAGCCTAGTGTGAGGACGGCCGCTGCTTTAACCAGCCTAGTGTGAGGACGGCCGCTGCTTTAACCAGCCTAGTGTGAGGACGGCCGCTGCTTTAACCAGCCTAGTGTGAGGACGGCCGCTGCTTTAACCAGCCTAGTGTGAGGACGGTCGCTGCTTTAACCAGCCTAGTGTGAGGACGGCCGCTGCTTTAACCAGCCTAGTGTGAGGACGGCCGCTGCTTTAACCAGCCTAGTGTGAAGACGAAGGCTGCTTTAACCAGCCTAGTGTGAGGACGAAGGCTGCTTTAACCAGCCTAGTATGAGGACGAAGGCTGCTTTAACCAGCCTAGTGTGAGAACGGCCGCTGCTTTAACCAGCCTAGTGTGAGGACGAAGGCTGCTTTAACCAGCCTAGTGTGAGGACGGCCTCTGCTTTAACCAGCCTAGTGTGAAGACGAAGGCTGCTTTAACCAGCCTAGTGTGAGGACGAAGGCTGCTTTAACCAGCCTAGTGTGAGGACGGCCTCTGCTTTAACCAGCCTAGTGTGAAGACGAAGGCTGCTTTAACCAGCCAAGTGTGAGGACGGCCTCTGCTTTAACCAGCCTAGTGTGAAGACGAAGGCTGCTTTAACCAGCCTAGTGTGAGGACGGCCTCTGCTTTAACCAGCCTAGTGTGAAGACGAAGGCTGCTTTAACCAGCCTAGTGTGAGGACGGCCGCTGCTTTAACCAGCCTAGTGTGAGGACGAAGGCTGCTTTAACCAGCCTAGTGTGAGGACGAAGGCTGCTTTAAACAGCCTAGTATGAGGACGAAGGCTGCTTTAACCAGCCTAGTGTGAGAACGGCCGCTGCTTTAACCAGCCTAGTGTGAGAACGGCCGCTGCTTTAACCAGCCTAGTGTGAGGACGAAGGCTGCTTTAACCAGCCTAGTATGAGGACGAAGGCTGCTTTAACCAGCCTAGTATGAGGACGAAGGCTGCTTTAACCAGCCTAGTGTGAGGACGAAGGCTGCTTTAACCAGCCTAGTGTGAGGACGGCCGCTGCTTTAACCACCCTAGTGTGTGGACGGCCGCTGCTTTAACCACCCTAGTGTGTGGACGGCCGCTGCTTTAACCAGCCTAGTGTGAGGACGAAGGCTGCTTTAACCAGCCTAGTGTGTGGATGGCCGCTGCTTTAACCAGCCTAGTGTGAGGACGAAGGCTGCTTTAACCAGCCTAGTGTGAGGACGGCCGCTGCTTTAACCACCCTAGTGTGTGGACGGCCGCTGCTTTAACCAGCCTAGTGTGAGGACGAAGGCTGCTTTAACCAGCCAAGTGTGAGGACGAAGGCTGCTTTAACCAGCCTAGTGTGAGGACGGCCGCTGCTTTAACCAGCCTAGTGTGAGGACTTCGGCTGCTTTAACCAGCCTAGTGTGAGGACTTCGGCTGCTTTAACCAGCCTAGTGTGAGGACGGCCGCTGCTTTAACCAGCCTAGTGTGAGGACGGCGGCTGCTTTAACCAGCCTAGTGTGAGGATGGCCGCTGCTTTAACCAGCCTAGTGTGAGGACGGCGGCTGCTTTAACCAGCCTAGTGTGAGGACGGCGGCTGCTTTAACCAGCCTAGTGTGAGGACGGCGGCTGCTTTAACCAGCCAAGTGTGAGGACGGCCGCTGCTTTAACCAGCCAAGTGTGAGGACGGCCGCTGCTTTAACCAGCCTAGTGTGAGGACGGCGGCTGCTTTAACCAGCCTAGTGTGAGGACGGCGGCTGCTTTAACCAGCCAAGTGTGAGGACGGCCGCTGCTTTAACCAGCCAAGTGTGAGGACGGCCGCTGCTTTAACCAGCCTAGTGTGAGGACGAAGGCTGCTTTAACCAGCCTAGTGTGAGGACGAAGGCTGCTTTAAACAGCCTAGTATGAGGACGAAGGCTGCTTTAACCAGCCTAGTGTGAGAACGGCCGCTGCTTTAACCAGCCTAGTGTGAGAACGGCCGCTGCTTTAACCAGCCTAGTGTGAGGACGAAGGCTGCTTTAACCAGCCTAGTATGAGGACGAAGGCTGCTTTAACCAGCCTAGTATGAGGACGAAGGCTGCTTTAACCAGCCTAGTGTGAGGACGAAGGCTGCTTTAACCAGCCTAGTGTGAGGACGGCCGCTGCTTTAACCACCCTAGTGTGTGGACGGCCGCTGCTTTAACCACCCTAGTGTGTGGACGGCCGCTGCTTTAACCAGCCTAGTGTGAGGACGAAGGCTGCTTTAACCAGCCTAGTGTGTGGATGGCCGCTGCTTTAACCAGCCTAGTGTGAGGACGAAGGCTGCTTTAACCAGCCTAGTGTGAGGACGGCCGCTGCTTTAACCACCCTAGTGTGTGGACGGCCGCTGCTTTAACCAGCCTAGTGTGAGGACGAAGGCTGCTTTAACCAGCCAAGTGTGAGGACGAAGGCTGCTTTAACCAGCCTAGTGTGAGGACGGCCGCTGCTTTAACCAGCCTAGTGTGAGGACTTCGGCTGCTTTAACCAGCCTAGTGTGAGGACTTCGGCTGCTTTAACCAGCCTAGTGTGAGGACGGCCGCTGCTTTAACCAGCCTAGTGTGAGGACGGCGGCTGCTTTAACCAGCCTAGTGTGAGGACGGCCGCTGCTTTAACCAGCCTAGTGTGAGGACGGCGGCTGCTTTAACCAGCCTAGTGTGAGGACGGCGGCTGCTTTAACCAGCCTAGTGTGAGGACGGCGGCTGCTTTAACCAGCCAAGTGTGAGGACGGCGGCTGCTTTAACCAGCCTAGTGTGAGGACGGCGGCTGCTTTAACCAGCCTAGTGTGAGGACGGCGGCTGCTTTAACCAGCCAAGTGTGAGGACGGCCGCTGCTTTAACCAGCCAAGTGTGAGGACGGCCGCTGCTTTAACCAGCCTAGTGTGAGGACGGCGGCTGCTTTAACCAGCCTAGTGTGAGGACGGCGGCTGCTTTAACCAGCCAAGTGTGAGGACGGCCGCTGCTTTAACCAGCCAAGTGTGAGGACGGCCGCTGCTTTAACCAGCCTAGTGTGAGGACGGCGGCTGCTTTAACCAGCCTAGTGTGAGGACGGCGGCTGCTTTAACCAGCCTAGTGTGAGGATGGCTGCTGCTTTAACCAGCCTAGTGTGAGGATGGCTGCTGCTTTAACCAGCCTAGTGTGAGGACGGCGGCTGCTTTAACCAGCCTTCGATATACGACCTTCTTCACGTCCGGGTATTTTGATATTTTCTAAATTCAAAATTTCGAAAAAACTATTCTAAATATTTTGATATTTTCTAAATTCAAAATATCAATATCTTTAAACTTTTCCGGCTTGTCTTAATATAATGGTTTACAAGTAGACTTATATAAGTGTTTAGCCGAGAGGGATACTTTATGAGACACTTACACCTCTCAGAGCCCCACTTACTGAAGACCTTACCCGTAAAGTACCTTACTCTATGTAATTATTTATTTAGGCATTAATGTACTTATGGTACTTATAGTACTTATATTTATAGCATAATTATCCTATAAATTAGTGGTGGCAGAACTGGAGAGAGGGAGAGAGAGAGAGAGAGAGAGAGAGAGAGAGAGAGAGGAGAGAGAGAGAGAGAGAGAAGAGAGAGAAGAGAGAGAGAGAGAGAAGAGAGGGGGAGAGAGAGAGGGGAGAGAGAGAGAGAGAGAGAGAGAGAGAGAGAGAGAGAAGAGAGTAGAGAGAGGAGAGAGAGATGGAGAGAAGAGAGAGAGAGAGAGAGAGAGAGGAGAGAGAGAGAGAGAGAGAGAGAGAGAGAGAGAGAGAGAGAGACAGAGAGAGAGAGAGAGAGAGAGAGAGAGAGAGAGAGAGAGAGAGAGAGCGGGAGAGAGAGAGATCAGAGAGAGAGAGAGAAGAGAGAGAGAGAGAGAGAGAGGAGAGAGAGAGAGAGAGAGAGAGAGAGAGAGAGAGAGAGAGATAGAGATTAGAGAGAGAGAGAGATAGAGAGAGAATAGAGAGAGAGAGAGAGAGAGAGAGAGAGAGAGAGAGAGAGAGAGAGGAGAGAGAGAGAGAGAGAGAGAGAGAGAGAGAGAGGGGGAGAGAGAGCGAGAGAGAGGAGATGAGAGCTCACCTAGTTGTGCTTGCGGGGGTTGAGCTCTGGCTCTTTGGTCCCGCCTCTCAACTGTCAATCAACTGGTGTACAGATTCCTGAGCCTACTGGGCTCTATCATATCTACATTTGAAACTGTGTATGGAGTCAGCCTCCACCACATCACTGCCTAATGCATTCCATTTGTTAACTACTCTGACACTGAAAAAATTCTTTCTAATGTCTCTGTGGCTCATTTGGGTACTAAGTTTCCACCTGTGTCCCCTTGTTCGTGTTCCACCCATGCTAAATAGTTTGTCTTTGTCCACCCTGTCAATTCCTCTGAGAATTTTGTAGGTGGTTATCATGTCTCCCCTTACTCTTCTGTCTTCCAGGGACGTGAGGTTTAGCTCCCGTAGCCTTTCCTCGTAGCTCATACCTCTCAGTTCTGGGACTAGTCTGGTGGCATACCTCTGAATCTTCTCTAACTTTGTCTTGTGTTTAACTAGGTATGGACTCCAGGCTGGAGCTGCAT